AACCTAAACCCTCAGCCCTGAACCTCAAACCACTTACTGTCGATCAAATCATAACCCCAACCCTTCATATCCCAACTACAATCCCTACAACCCCTCCAGTAGGCTGTTGTTTGATAACCTAGACTAGACTCTGTGATGGAAAGGTGGATCTCTAAACCATACACCCTATCCCTAGGCCCTCATTCGCAAAGGTGGACCACCTAAACCCCTAAACCGGATGGGTTTAGGGTTTAGGGTATAAATCCCACAACCCTAAACATCCCTAAGCCCTAAACCCTATGAAAGCAAAGGTGGATCACTATAACCTGGTATTCTCTGTTTGGGATTCCGTGGAGCGTGCTCGAAGCAACGAGCAACCTGTCAGTTTGCTATGCGGGGTTTAGGGTTTAGGGTTTATTAGGGTTTAGGGGTTTATGGCTAAGGCTTGAGGGACAGGTGTGTTAAGGGGGTTGCGGTATTCAGGGCATAAGGTTTTTAGGGTCTCGGGTTTAGGGTTCAGGGTTTAGGCCTCAGCGTTTCAGGTTCGGGTACGCTTCATGGGTTATTGTTGGGCACTCCCCCTCAACACAACCTCACCAGCTGGGTAGCTTCCATAAATGGGATGTCCCCAACATACTAGGTACCCCAGTAGTACCCTATCTGTCCCTTTGCATTTTGAGCTGTACTTATTCAAGCGGAACTTCAGGACAAGGGTATCCGTATTGTTCAAGGGTTCACGGGGAACCTAGCATAAAAGGGTTTAGGCTTTAGAGTTGTTGCGTGGACCCTAACAACAGTACCCCAAGTTTTGGGAACACTCCACTTATAGACGTAGGCTACAGTCCAACCCCTAAAAGGGTGTTATACAGGGGAGTATTATAGGGGTTATTAAGGGGGAATCTAGGAGTCTAGACTGTACCCTGAACCCTAAACTTTAACCGCTCGCATGAAAGGAGAAATTGCTAGTAGAGGCTGTGACTTGCTTTTTCAAATTTTACGAGGGAAGAGTTCGGGCTTCGGATTGACTGCTTAAGATACAGGGCTTGGAATTCAGGGCTTGTCAGGATTTAGGGTTTAGGGCCCACCAGGGTTTCGGGTTATCAGGGATTAGGGTTCAAGGCCTTATAAGGGTTTGTCAGGGTTAGGATTTCCGATTTGGGGGCAGAAAAGTTAGGATTCGGGCCAGGAATTTTGAAACTTGTGTGCAACTTAAGATTTTGGGTTTTGGGGTTGGGGGGTTTTAGGGTTTGGGGCTTAGGGTTGAGGATTTCGGGTTTAGGGTTTAGGGTGCAACTTAGCACGAGCCGCATTTGCAGTGTGTAGGCTTTTGGTGAACTACCTGGTCAACTACCTATCCTTAAGGGCACAAGTTTGCTTACAATCGAGGGGAATCCTAAACCCTAAACCCTAAACCTTTTGGGGGTACTTGGGCCCCCAGGGTTTCTGATGGGGGTGCTGCGGCTGAATTACGGGTGTGTAGTACCTTACCGAAGTCCAGGCTCCTTCAAGGTAGGCGCTTCAAACATGTTGGAGCTGTGGTTAAGGGTTTAAGGGTTTAGGGTTAAGGGTTTTTTGTCACAGTTCACGGGGGTAGCGAAGCATGTAGATTTTACCCAGGCCGGAACACCACGCCCAAAGAGATTTTGGTTTTTGCCTTGTGTCTTGCAATATCAGCCCGTAGAATCCGTGCACAGCCTGCTTTTAGGTGAGCCGACGCATGTGGCAGAGAATGACTTCCATGAGCGCATGGCGCAGCTGCGAGACTACCTCCGGGACATGCGCTTGGACCACGGCCTCTTTGACCGGTACTCTGCTCAACTCCTGAGGAAACTGCGGCGGTACTTCCGCAGCTTGCATGTAATTCGTCGTGCACCCAACCGTCGCGCACGGCTGCGTAGCACCGGCAAACGACCGCGCCCGGCAGCGTTTCGAGGCGAATGGGACTAAAGCAGAGAGCTTGCAAGCCGAGGGGTGATTCAGTTGGTTAGCACTTTGAATTTTACAATTGGGAATTGGGAATGCCGACTAGCAGCAAAGCTACAGGCGCGCACGCGTCGAGACAGGACTACCTGCAGTTTTTCGGATCAAGTCCTGCACTTTTCTCAGAGCGCAAGAACGACAGGACCTGCCCGGGCCTCAGGGATATTTAGTGAGCATCCGCACCAAACGCGCCGTCGGACTGTCAGGTGTGAGCAATGTTGCAGACCTCGTGGGTGGACATTACCGAGGAAGAGCTTGGCTCCAGCAAAAACGAGCCTCAGGCCGGTCAAAAATGATCCTGCGTGAATGTTTACGTCGCAAACTTTGTACCTGAGGTCGAGCAAAGTCATCAACGCCCTCGGCGACGTGGTCCTCAGTACCGTGCAGGAGCAAGACGGCGACGTGAGGCGCCGAACTGCAGATGCCTCCCACTAGCTAGCCACCCCCAGCCAACCGGAGCAGGCTCGCCTGGCCGAAAGGAGGCGCGTGCCTTAAATTCTTGCGCGAACCGAAGTCAGATTTGCGACGAGGTCCCCATGACTTTGTTCCCAGACACGGATGAGGAGGCATCCGACCTTTCGTGCCAGCTAGCTTCTACATCTTGACCTGGGGCGCAGGTGACCCTACTGTAAACCCTAAACCCTTAACCATGTTCAGGGCGTAGCAATTGGGGTGTTCCCAACAACGCCGACGACAGCAACAGCTTTCTGTGCTGGACTCGCTTTATGGGACCTCGCAAATCCCCTATGTAAGCGCTAAATCCTGCAGCCTAAGCCGACCCTAAACCTTAAACCCCCAAAATAAACACGAACCATGCTACATACCTGGACCTCTAAATCCCTGACACCTGAGCTTGCACGGCCGAAGCAGAAACAGCCACACTCCTCAATTCACTGGTGGTAGGGTTAGCCTGCATGTTGTTCGGCTTGTTATGTTTTTGTTTGGGCAATTTAAAGCGACCTCACCCGACCTCGCCCTAAATGGTGGTTTATATAGGGATTCGTACCAACATGGCCTTAAATTGGGAATTGAAATTGCTCTAAATTGCCTTGCTTTACGTTCGTAACCGCATGGTGCGACTTTTGTGGCTTTAGCGTTCTGCTTCCATCTTACCACCGTATTAAACTAAGATTATCTAAGGATCCCCCACGGCCCCCCTTTTATGAAGTTACGTACAAGCCACCCTAATCCCTCAACCCTAAATGCCAAAGTTCCTGATATACATAATGATGGTATAGGATATCTCAAGCAGACCTTCGCATGATATTGGTACCAAGCCTTCAACCTACACCTTTAACCCTAAACCTTTAACCCTAAATCCTTAACCCTACTAAACCCTCAACTCTTAGCCCGGAACCCTAAACCTTAAGCCCTAAGGCCTAAACCTTAAACCCTCAACCTTCAATGCTTTACACTCAACCCGTCACCCTAAAGCCTTCAATCCTTAACACTCAACCCTTAACCTTAAAGCTCGAACCTGACGTCCAAACCCTTAACCCTCAATCTTCAACATTCAACCCTCAACCCTTAACCCTAAAGCCCTAAGCCTTGAACCTAAACCTTAAACCCTTAACCCTAAACCCTTGACCCTAAACCTTAAACCCTAAGCCTAAAAATCCGCTGCAGGCGTGGTTTGTCTCACTGTCTAGAGCTCTCCGGAAGGCGGCTGTGATGAGTACGTGCCAGGATTGCCGTCCCTGGAGTAAGGTTTACTTGGACCCCAAATGTATGTAAACTAGTGGCCCTTACGGCTGTTAATATGGGTTTACGAATATTTTACATACCTTTGGTGTTCCGGTAGGGCCATTGTAATGTTTAGGTTTTGTAGGTATAGGGTGGTTGTTATTTTGCATGAAGCTAAAACCACATATAAGCAATGTAGAATGGTTCTTGGTAGCATCACACAAGGAAGCAGTTCAAAGCCCCAAAGAGAGATCATAGCTAAACGCCCGGATAGGGACCATCATCCTGGCACATGCTCTGCCATGTTTGTGGCACATTTCCTGTTTTCACCAGAAAAAAGGTCGCCGGGACTGAGTTTGCAAGGGTTTTTTGGGTGTGAGGTCTGAAAGGCCGTAAACGCTAAACCCTAAAACCCTATAGGATTTAAGGTTTGTGCATTTGCAGATTTAGGGCTGCGTGTTTTGGGCCGTTTAGGGTCTAGGGTTTAGGGTTGAAGGTTTAGGGTTTGGGGGTTTAAGGGTGAAATCCTACAGTTTTCAGGGTTTATTACCATTACTTAGGGTTTGGGGGGGTTCATTTTGGTTTTGAACGTTTGAACTTTTAAAGTTAAGGAAATTTGGGTAGCCGACGTGATGGTAATTTTATATGGGCTTGAGGGTTTAGTGTTTAGGGTTAAGGGTAAGTCTAGACCCTGAACTCCAACTTTATTTTAACCTGGTGCATACTTCCGCCTGAGTGCGCAGCAGTGCTGTGTACCATTGTTTTTGTGCTAAAGTATCAGCCATGATGCCTGCAAAGCCAAGTAAGCTTGAAACCAAAATTGGCCCCCCATAATTTTGGGAACTGCCCCAATACCCTGAACTATATGGACCGTCGACGCCAAAGCTCCAGAGCCACCTAGCTTGCTCTCTGAACCCTGAACCCTAAACCATCGAACTCTAAACCCCCAAACCCTCGAACCCCTAAACCCCTAAACCCTAAACCCCTAAACCCGATAGACCCTAAACCCTGAACCCTAAACCCCTAAACCCAAAACCCCACACGATGCGTGGCCTCCTTTCTGCTCCAGATCCCGTGATAAAGAAATTTGTCAGCATGCATGGTGCCACTCGGGAATCGGTGGCCCGCGGGGATTACCAGGCTTGAAGGTTTTACGGTTTAAGTTTTAGGGCTTAAGGCCTAGGATTCGAAGTCTACCCTACTCAAATAAGAGCTCCCTGCTCATTTAATCATGCAAAGATTATTGATAGGTGTGAAAATCAAGCCCTCTTTTCGAAAAAAAAGAGCAGGTTATTTATGCTGTGTTGCCCTGCGGGTGGGATAGTAGACTACTGAGGCCCTCATCTTGACACGTCCCCATGAAGAGACCGGCTGCAGCCAAGCGGGTATTAAAGGGGCCCGCTGCCAAACGGCCCGCCGCCGCCGCCAAGCGGCCGGCGGCCGCAAAAGTAGCCAAGCGACCAGCAAAGAAGCTGGCGGTTGATCCGGTGACTTGGGCTATTTAGGGTTCATGTTTGAGGGTTCAAGGAGCAGGGTAGGCAACATTTGGGCTGCTCTCACAAGGTGACATTCCAGGAATCATTATCTGCTGTGGGCGTATATGGGTTGCAGTCTTAGTAGGAAATAGTATGGTGGATGGACAGAATCCTTCAGAAGCATGAGATATGCAAATACCTCAGAATGATGGCACTGTAGTACACTTAGGATTATGCAGGTCTCCTAAATCCTAAACCATAGACACTAAACCCGAAGTGTACTATAGTGCCATCATTCTTGGGTTTGGTGCTTAGGGTTTAGGGGATCTTCTCTACGTGCTCTCCAATGCCTCCCGCATCAATGGCTGTGTTTTGCTATCATGATTCCATGGTGATGTGTAGGGTTTGTGGGATGGCTTCTCAGAGTATAGTGTTACTTGCATGCAACCGAGGGGTGTTCCAAAGAGGTTCAGGTGTTGGATGGCAGGCCGTGAGCGTGTAGGCATCCTTATAGTGCCCATGGTGCCCCCAACCCTCAAACTCAAACTTCAGCGCTCCACCTTGACCCTATGAACCCTAAAACCAAGCCACACTCTAGCGGAAGAGAGCTTTGCCACTAGGAGCTCTACTTGCATGATGAAGCGGACATTGTAAGCAGACTTCATGAAAGGAAAATTCTTTGGGGTTGTGAGTTGTAAGTATACTTACTATGGCTCCTGGCCCCTCGCAGTATTGCTCTCTTTTATTGTGACCAACATGTATATAGGTAAGCACTTACCCTAGACAACAAGGCACTATGCTCAAACTCATACATGCTTATAGTCCCCGGTCCCTTTTAAGTAGATAGAATCTGGGGTATTTGGGGATCTACTTGTAATATACCCAAAGCCATATTCCATCTACTTAAGGGGGACTAACCCAGATTCGCCTGCAGCACCCAGAAGAACTCAGCTACACAGCGCACTAGCGGCCACCTCAACTGATTGGTTCTTAGTAGGGAAGAAGGGAGTAGAATCCCTATGTAATTTAGGGTTTAGGGGCTTAGGGTTTAGGGTTTTTGGGTTTAGGATTTAGGGTTTAGGGTTCAGGGAATCCCATTATGACCTACTAAGAACCCATAAGTCAAGGAGGCATGATACCTACGCAAGAGCTTAGCTTCGCACTTATAAACGCCAGAACGATGGAGAAGTGTTCACTAAACGCCGAAGCCCCGCGAAAGCGTAAAATTCCTAAAGCTTATTTACTGGGGATTATTAGGGAACAAGAGAGTATGTAATGTAGGCATTACGCTGTGATTACTTTGGGATTACATTCCCATATTCCCTGCGAACCACCAGTAAATGTAGGTCTCACACCCTTGCGCAGGTGTTCCTTTCTGAGTGGGGTGGTGAAGACACTGAAGCCCCTACGGCTGTGCGCGAAGGGACTGCTGCTAAGCTTGTTTTGAGAAAATCTTCCCCATAAACCCTAAGCCCTAAGCCCTAAATCCTAAACACTTAAGTCTCAAACCCTAAAAACCTAAATCCTAAACATTTAAATCCTAAACCCTAAAGACCCAAATCTCCCCAACATTTCCCTGCTTAGGGCGTAGGGTTTAGGGTTTACCCAATACCCGAGTTGAATGGGGAAACTTGAAGCTTCAGTCCTCAAGGAAGGTTTGGGACTCATTTAATGGCGGTTCGTGGTTGAGGGTTTAGGGTTTAGGTTTTGGGGTTAGGGTTTGGGGTTTAGGGTTTTGAGTTTGGGGCTTAGGGTGTAAGGGTATATGGTTTAGGGGCTTTTGGTTTGGGGTTTAGGGTTCAGGGCTTCATTCCGCTTGAGGCAGAATTCTTATGCGTTACGAAAGACGCATCTGTGGTTTACATGGGCCATTGTCTAAACTCTTTTTCTAAACTCCTTAAAGAGGCCTATACGCATATATATATATATGTGCAAATGTATATATATATATAGAGGGAATATATATATATATATGTATGGGAGTATTTTAGGGCTTAGTAAGGAGGATACTAGGAGTTCAGACTATGGCTCACATGGTTCTGCACTGTACGACTTCAGACCCGAAACCTTAACCCATGTTGAGCGCTCCCTACTGTACGCACTGCCGACGGAGTATGGCCCTTGGGATTGTGGCACGCTTTAGGGTGGGCCTGGGAGTTGGGGATTCTAAGCCCTAAGACCCCAAACGCTACACCCCAAGGCCCAAACCCTGAAGCCAAATCCCTTCACCCCTGAGACCCACAACCTGTTCCAGTTCAAGCCCTTTGCACTTGTACCTGGACCCCAGAAGCAGGTAAAACAATAGCACAAAACATTAAAAAAAGGTCACTATTCTACATACTTTTAGGGTTCAGGTATTCCTTACTGGCATTTCTCAGGTGATCCCCTTAAACCCTAAACCCATAACCCTATAACCCCTTATAACGGACCAAGACCATCCCCATGAGTCCCTAGCTTCCCCCCCGGCCCCAGAACCGAAGCCCGAAACCGTAACATGCAGCCCTGAAGGGTTTCGGGTTTAGGTTTTAGGGGTTTAGGGTTTAGGGTAAACCTGTCGGGATGATCTTGGAAGCTGGTAGTTGCCAGGAGTAAGGAGACCAAGGTTTAGGGTTGAGGGCTTATATTCCTTCTTACGTGGACCCACTCAAAAAACCTAGACCCTACACCTTAAGCCCTAAATAGTAGCACCCTAAACCCTGAATAGTAACTTCCATTATCCCAATATATCCCCCATGTATCCCTTATATAACCCTACCTGCAGCCCCCAGGTATGGCTGGAAAGCCTACCAACTGATGCATCGCTCTTTGCGTCCCTGGCTGCGAAGGAGGAGCTCGTTGATTGGTAATTAGGGTTGTGGGTTTTCGGTGAAGGCTTTTATTGTTTACAGAACCCTCAACAGTATGTGGGTATCGTGTTCTGGGTTGGGTTGAGAGCACACATTCATATGCATGATTGTATATTTCATGAAAGAAACTTAACTACTCCTACCCCAGCTAACTATTGGGGGAGTTTTCGTTGCAGTTTGATTGAAACTTCATGTCATAAGCCCTAAGCCGTAAAGCCCTACAACCTAGCCCTACAGCCCCCAGCCCCTTATCCTAGAGATGATCCCGCTCAGAACCTTAACCATACGGGCCTCCACCTGCAATTGTTACACCCTAAACACAACAGTGGGGAAGGGGCTTAGGGGTGTTACAAAGGGGGGTTGCATATATAGGGGGTTATGATAAAAGTTCATACAGGCCTTATATAGGAATCACTTAAGGATTGACGTTTCATCATGACAGGTAGCGCAAGCTACTTGATTTCCATGAAGTCGGTCTTTCGGGTCTAGGCTTTTAGGGTTTAGGCTGAGCAGGGCTAAAAATCTACCCGCTGATGGCGCGGCACGTAGTGCGCCCAGTGAACCTGCTGGACATTGTCCAAGACTCCACCGAAACTGGGTTTTCTGTAAGATTGCCCACCCGCCGTGAGACATAACAGGCTACCACCCAAGTTACTTACTGTTGGGGTTTAGAGCTACGCCCTGAATCGCTAAACCCTAAGCCCTAATCTTCTCGCTTCCCAGTCTCAAGTTCTGAGTACCTGAACCCCAAAAGTATGTAGAATAATGGCCTTTTGGGCTGTTTTAAGGGTCTTGGGCTATTATTTTACCTACCTTTGGGGTGCAGGTAAAGACTATCATTACGGGCCCGCCGCAGGCGGCCGTAGGAGAAGATCTCCGTGACCTCGAAGAGTTTAGGGCTTAGGGCCTATAGGGCCTTGAGATCTAAACCCTGAACCCGAATAGCCCAAACCCATAAACCTAAACCCTATACCCCACGGAAATTTTGCGAGCATGACTCGCTCTACAGATTCCCTGAGGATTGGGGCTTAGGGTTTAGGGTCTAGGATTGATATGTCTAGGGTTTAGGGTACGCGTGGGATACTCAAGAACCTGCGAGAATTAGGGCTTTCCCAAAATTAGGGGCACCATTTTGGTGGTCCCGATATTCAGGATTATACCATATTGGGGTCTATATTGGGGTCCCCTTTAGGGAAACTACCCACTGTCGAAACTTTACGGTGTAGATCATAGCCCTACATCGTGACTCCACTTGCACCCGAGTGGGATGATGGCGCTTGCTAGCGGCTAGCGTGAAGAAGGTTATTGCCGACACCCCCCTAAACCCTAAACCCTAAACCCTCTCTCCTTAGCCCCTTCGCATGATCGACGTCCTCGGCTACGACCTTCCTCCATCACACGAGGCCAAGCTTAGAGGATGGGAGCAAGACCATGGCAGAAGGCCGCTTGACAACCGGTTGAGGGTTTAGGCTTTAGGGTTAAGGGTTTAACGTAACTTCTTGAGCCCTACCCATACCTCCCACAAAAGGTCCCCGACCAAAGCCTACTGGACCCTGGACCCTAAAAATATTCTATCTGCTGCTAGTTTTCCAATTAACTGCTTAAAGGCCGGGCATAGACCATGAAGCCCCAAACCAAAGCCAAATGGACCCCGAACCCTAAAAATATTTTATCTGCTAGTTCTCCAATGGAAATTTGAAAGGCCACACAAAAACCATGGAGCCCCAAACCAAAGCCAAATGGACCGTGGACCTCCAAAATATTCTATCTGCTAGAGTTCCAATGGTATTGAAAAGGCTGCGCAAAGACAATGGAGCCCCCAACCAAAGCCAACTGGACCCTGGACCCCAAAAAATATTCTATCTGCTAGTTTCAAATGAAACTGGAAAGGCCACGCAAAGACCGTGGCGCCCCAAACCAAACCGAAATGGACCCTCGACCCCAACAATATTTTGGAGCTCAATTGTCCTGATGTGGCCTTAAGAATTTCATCGCAAAACTAGCAGATAGAATATTTTTTGGATCCAGGATCCTTTTGGGCTTGGTTTGGGGCTCCATTGTCTTCTTCTGGCATGTAAAATTTCATTTGGGAAAATAGCAAACAGAATATTTTTGAGCTCCAGGGTCCATTTGGGTTTGGTTTGGGTTTTATTGTCATTGTTGCTGTCTAGCCTGGCGTGGTCCCAAAGCTTTTGACACCTGTCTGCAGGACTTCCCTCCGGCGTTATTTTCAGTTGCAGTGGCCAACTATGGCCACATCCCAGTATAGTCACTATGTAGTCAGTATACTGCTTGCATGCGCCAGCTTTTTGCACACCATTGCTCAGTGCCCAAAACCCTCTCCACGCGTGCATTCGGAGATCAACATTCATATAAATCTCAGGCTGGACGTGGCAAGCAGTCTGCGTGCAGATGCCTACGCCATCCAGGCGCTCCGCGGTTACCAGGACGGCAAGCTCATCCTCCACCCCTGGATTGCGCGTGGGTTGCTGAGTGGTACCACGAAGGCTCCATCGACCGTGCCAAAGCGGCAATGATGCTTACAAAGGGCCAGATGCTTGACATTCTGCAACTGGGGTCTCTACCAGTTCTGGACTTGACTGCCGAGCAGCAGCTGGTCCATGAAGCAGAGGAAAACCACTCTCTGGTGAGACTGTCACGGCTTGGTGCATCAGCAAGCCTGATGGCACACAAGTGTTACTTCCAGCGTGGCTGGGCCAGATAATCGACAAAAACGTCTGCATCTGGACCCGGGAAGCCGAGACCTGGGAGAACCGCCTCCCAAAGCGCAGAGACCTAGGCAAGGAGACCTTGGCTCCGAAACAGCAGGAGGCCTATGCCGGTTGGCAGAGCACCAACCAGCGCGTCATTGTGCAAAAGCAGATGAAAACGTGGGGTGAGAGAACAAAAACTTGGCTCAAAAAGCATTGTTCGACTCTCACGCTCCACATGACGACGCAGGCAGAGAATTTGCGAATCCGAACAGGCCATGGCGACTGGTACGGGCTAAAACTGCTTGCGAGTGACGGCGGTGTCCAGCTCCCTGAAGCCCTTCCCGCCCTCATTGACCAGTGGCCGGATGCAGGCGTAGAGGATGCAGGCCTTGCGCCACCTGCACTGGATGATGAGAATGGCGAAGATCCTGGAGGTTCCCGCGTTCACTGACGAGCCTGACGAGGAGAATCTCGACCCCAACCTGCATGAGGGGTGGATGTTCTCCGAGTCAGACGCTTCGGGTGACGAGGAGGAAGTGGAACCCTCAGATCCAGCGCTTGCAGCCGGCAATACGCGCACCAACAACTCATCCTGCGGGATGAGTATGGGGAGCTGTACAACCTTGGCCTGACCGATCGCCCAGCTGGCTGCCAGATCGGAGTGCACCCTGCAGCCATGAAATGGCGTTCATTCTCCTTCCATGCGGGGTCCCAGCACTTCGCCCGAAGCTGGGGCCCCCAGATCGGGGCGAACAGCCAGACAAGCTTTGCTGAGGGTGCTAGAGCTCATGCTGGAAGCACACTGCAATGCAGTGCCAAAAGACAGCCTGGCGAAGAAGCAGCTGCGGAAGATCAAAAGTGCGGAGAGCCCGCATGCGGATTAGGCCGAGGGCCCGCATGCAGACGACCAGCTGCTGATCTGAACCACTTCGTGGATGATCGCTTGGGGTAGAATTATATACACAAAGCTTGTAGGTACATATTGGAAATGCAGCACTAATAATTCATAATTAATTATATAAGCAAAATGGTGGCAAAAAGCGAGCATCCAAGCTCCCTCATCCCAATCTTCAGATTGGGACAAGGTTTGACGCACCGGGGTAGTGTCATGCGCGCACTTTCTGTGTGTATATATATATATACGTATATATACACATGATGTAAGGGTGCTGGACATGTGATGAACGCATAGTTGCGGATGAGCAAATGGCTCCACAAGTTACCTTGCGTGCATAAGTGCTACTCTTTCATGCATAGACACGCACATACATGTATATAAGCTTCTTCACCAGGGAAAATACGGCTTTGAGAGATTTTGAAGAAATTGATGCGCATGACTATGGGGGTTAGTCTCGCCAAATGTGCGATCCGGAGTAGGCCGAGGGCCCGCATGCAGACGACCAGCTGCTGATCTGAACCACTTCGTGGATGATCGCTTTTGGTAGAATTATATACACAAAGCTTGTAGGTACATATTGGAGATGCAGCATTAATAATTCATAATTATTTATATAAGCAAAATGGTGGTGTCGATGAATCAATTTTGGCTTAAAGGCTGTTGTCATGGGTGTTTTAGAGGTTCAGCTAGTCGAAAGTTAAAAGAAGATCACTGAATTTTATACGCTATGCCGTAGATCCCAAGCCACAAAAAATCTAAACCCTAAGCCGTCAACCTTACATTCGGGTTTATGCGTTTACGGCTTGGGATTTAGGCCCTAAATCCTAAACTAGAACCCTAAGGGTCCAAGGACCCAAATTATAGAGGCTTTAGGCCCCAAATACTATAATATGAATGGTATGCGGGCCCTAAAATCCTGTTATTTGGGTCCTTGGACCCTTATATAAACCCCATATATCCCCCTATAACCCCTTTTAAAGGGACCCTATAATTTGGGTCCTTGGGCCCCCAGGGTAAAGAAAACAAAGCCGTAAAACCTCAACTCGAAGGTTGGGAAGTGTCGGTCCCTACTATGGGGGTTTAGGGTTTAAGGTGTGGGTCTTGGGGGTTTTCAGGGATCTCAGACGGCCCTTAAACGTACATTATAGGGTACTCCTATATATATATATGTATGTATGTATGTATGTATGTATATATTTATACCCTAGACCCCAAGCCCTAAACCCTAAACCCTAAACCGCACTATACATATATATACATATATATACATATATTAGAGAGGGACCTCAAGATAAGGCTTAGGTGCAATCCAAAGCTTCTCAACTGTAAATCCCAAATGCTGAAACCTAAGCCCTAAAACCCTAAACTCCAAACCCTAAACCTAAACCCTAAATCCTAAAACACTAAACCCTAAAACCCTTACCTGGACCCAAAAAGTAGGTAAAATAATAGCCCAAGACCTTAACCCTAAAACCCTAAACCCCTAAATCCCAAGTCGAAAGAGGAGCTTACGCGAGTGCACGAGCAACCTGAGGGTTTCGTGACGGAGTGGAATGAGGCGGTACCGAAGCACTCCACCAGTTTAGGGTTTGGGGTGGAGGGTTCAGGGGTTTAGTGTTTAGGATTTAGGGGTTTAGGATTTTAGAGTTTTAGGGTTTAGGGTTGAGGGCTTAGGGTTTTAGGGTTGGGGTTTGGGATTTAGAGTTTGGGTTTAGGGTTGCCCTAGACCGCCCTAGACCATATCCTTTTCTCTAGGATATGTAGCTGTACGTCTACGTAGTACCTTTTATATGGAAAAAACAAGGTGAGAATAAAGGGGCTGGGTATAGTGGTCAAGGTAGGGGTGTAGGGGATTTAGGGTGTCAGGGGTTTCGGGTTAGTGGCTTTCTGAACTTAAGGGTTCATAAAGTTTACGGGATTTAGGGTTTTAGGCGCCCTAAACCCTAAACCTAGGCTTCAAAGTGTTTAGGCGTGATCGCTTTTTGCGTGTGCGGCATATAGGGAAGCATCTTGGTGCTGATCCAGGCTGCTGCAGTGGGTTTAGGGTTTAGGGATTTAGGGTTTAGGGTTTAGGAGTTTGTGGTTTAGGGACTTAGGGCTTAGGTATTATACACACATTATCAACTTGATAATCCTCAGTTCCATTTTTTGCATACATTACATTATATTTTCTCAAGTTTAGGGTTTAGGTCGTCACAGTACGTTTGTCGGTTGCATGTAACACCCTCCCCCCTGATGCTGAATACTTCAAACATGATCTGGCATACTGTATCCGGATTTTGTTTACATTAGGCAGGTGGAAGTTTTTTTAAAGATATTGCCCCAGACCCTAGACTTTAATTCGCAGTATATTTCGTGTTCTATGTTCTTTTCCATTCCCCATTTATAGATATCCCCATATTATCTCATCAGAGAGGGGACTAGTTTTCTGAGTTAAGCTTTAAAGCTCCCCACCACCAAGAGGGTTGCTTAAGTCCCTAAAACCCTGGAACCTGAAGCGGTCTAGGGTTTAGGGTTTAGGGTTTGGGGCTTAGGGTTTTAGGGGTTTAGGGCTTTAGGGGTTTAGGGCTTAGGGAAGTCATAAGGTGTCTGGGGGGGAAGCCAGGTCGGTGTTTAGGGTTCAGGGTGGTAAGGAGCTAACGCCTGGCATGTCTGCCCAGCGTCCCCCGTAAGTAGATAGAATATGGCTTTGCCCTAAGGGGCCAAGGACCCAAATAATAGGGCTTTAGGCCCCAAATACTATAATATTAATGGTATTTGGGCCCTAAAACCCTATTATTTGGGTCCTTGGACCCTTAGGGTTGGGTATACTATAATAAGATCCCCATGTACTCCATATTCTTTCTACTTAAGGGGGACCCTAAAGCCTAAACCCTAAATAGTAGTTTCCATTTTCTTTTCCATTATCCCTATATAACCCCTATATCCTCCCTTTAAGGGGACCTAGGGTTCTATCTACTTAAGGGGGACCCTA